CACAGCATTATCTATTGCCCACAAAATGAAAGCCCATTAAATCCACAGCATTATCTATTGCCCACAAAATGAAAGCCCATAAACCACTTGACTATCTTTAACCTGAGGGATTTTTTCATCTGTGCACCCTGGGACAAACTAAGAATGACATGGTTCTGAATTAATTACTCCTCTGTAGCTCTTCTGATCACCTTTCTCATGTAGACAAATGCTAGCATTTACAGGATCAAGTTCTTAATTGAAAATGTTCATTGTGAACTCATGCAGCTACCAGAGACTATTGCCTGCATTACGTGATATTAAGAAAATCAGAGATCTTATGCCAAAATATTTTAATGAACCTTTAAGAAGCAAAACATGAGGAATGTCACATATTGCCACCATCCTGAGATTGTGCTTTGCTACAATTAAACCAATAATCAGGATTTTCAGAATTTTCCAAATAAATGTTATTTTGTATTTTAAAAAATGATTACTCAAAATTCAGAAATGTAGCAGTCACTGTGTGAAAAAAATCACTTCCTTGTCTCCCCAAGTGTAAAATATTTCTCTGTTGTAATAATGCAGTTTAATGCTCACGAAAGCACATCAGACCAAATCCAACACCGAACTGCTGATACACACAAATTGTCTCCTTAGGATCACCACCCTGGAATTAAAACAATAAAATATGTTATTGATATTTCTTGTATAGTAGGAAAACAGCTTGTTATATTCAAAATAAGCCAATAGTTTAGTCTTCTGTGCATGGATTTCACCTTCTGCACCTGCTTTTTCATCCTTATTTCAGACTGGGAGTCTGTAGTATTTATTATACAGCATCACATTCTCCTGGGTAAGCTGGACTGTTAGTGCCTGATCTAGCTCGAGCATCTGCTCTTTCAAAGGGATGACTCCTTCATCTGAATACCCCCAGATCTGCTCACACTTACCCCACCTGCACCACCCTCTTCAGGCTTCCTAAGCTAACCAAGGCTGAGTCTAATCACTATCTTCATGGGACACATCCACTGCTAATCAGAATATGGATATGTTCTAAATTATATTATCTTAATCATACTTTTGAAATAGCTAGAGATTGAAATTATTCTGTTTCTTCAACAGGCTACTTCTGCTGTGGAAAACAAAACAAAACCCTTCTAGACCTGTAAATACTTTTTCATTTGATTTGAAATCTAACATAAATTCTAATTTGATTTAATCTATATTTTTCGATTCTGGTGGGTTTTAATTAAATCAGAAGCAATTTATCTCCACTTGTTTCATTACTGATGTTAAGAATAACACTTAAACTTACTTAGTGGCTGAACACATGAGCAAAGTGTGTGCTTAAAAGCTATACTCCATAGGTACTAAAGCAGAAGACCTTTCTTTCAATGTTGTATACATCTAATAATTTCACTCTGGATAATATTTGCCCAAGTCAAGGATAGGCGGAAATATGGCTGCCTGACAGGAAACCAGAGGTGTCCCTATTTTCAAAATGTGGTATCATTTTTTTCTCAAGGTAATTAAAAGTGAATCGTGGGACAGTTCATATTTCTCTATTTACCTTGAGACGTCACAAACATAAAAGAATTTCAGCAGAATTTAAGCTCATGTTGGTATCCTACTGTTATAAATAGCTATTTATAACAATTATATTCATAAATAGGTTATTTATAACAGTATTTATCACTTCTTTTGATTGCAGCAACTTTTAAGATTAAAAAAAAGATCACATGCTGACAGAGTTTGAAACACAATGATTCTCTTTGATGTTAATTCCTGAGGAAGTAAGCAGGTAGCCCCCAGCTTTACAGGATGCTGCCCTGCTAGCTCCACCTTGAGTGGAGGGCTGCACTGCTGCTCTCTCTGTAAGAAATAGATGGCTTTCAATCATCTGGTTGGAATTAAAAAGCTCAGACCCAGTTTTTACTTTCCAGGCAAGACACACTCACACTCAGTCAAAGGTTCAGCAATTTGTACTCCCTAACCACCAGCACACCTCTACTCAACCTCTCCTCCTTCAATCCTTCTGCTCAGACGATTGAGCACTAGTCTCTTCCCCAGGCTCAGGGAGTCTCAGTTTCACTCTTTCTTTCTATGTTTTTTTCTGTTGACTGACTCCTCTGAGCAGCTGCTTAATGTTACCTTGCTTGTATGTCAAAGCAAGACATGCTCATTTTCCCTGCTGTTTCTAGCAAACAGAAAACCTGATGGATTCTTGGTCGGAGAAAATTTGCATTTTAATCAGGCTTCTGGGCAATCAAATTTTTGCCAGTCTCATTAATTTATCATCTGACAATTTTTCTAATCAGATTTTTCTGTCTATCAGGCCACTTCCCCTCCTTGAACCTATGTTTACTTGAAGCTAATGACATGCCCTTCAGGTTTATCAGGTTAAACCAATGAACAAACAAGACTTCCTTCAGCTGCCAGGCCCTAGCAAAAATGATTCGGTAATTTAATACAAAATTATAAAAATCATTATTTTAATTACATTTTGAGATTTTGCTGATGTCTCATTTTCCATTTTACCATCTGTGATAGGTATGCTACTTTAGCCAAGACACATACATGTCTGTTGAGCATAATCATAAAGGTGTAGCAGCAGATCTTAAGGCAGATGGTTTCACACATTGATCAGCACCAGCTCTACAGGGCTCTTGTATCTGACAATTCTCTCTATCCAGTAAGAAAAGTTCACCTTTACAATGGCAAGGATGGTGTTTAGGACCAATACTGCCAAAATGATTCTTTGGGATGCAGTTATGCTCTCCCTATACTGTTCCAGAACCTGCTACCTGCTGGCAATATAGGTGCTTGCAGCAGAGCAGCTTCCTTCACTTCTTATTTACAGCAGCAAACTTTTGTGCCCCAGTGATGTGTGAGGAAAGTTCTGCCTGAGACTTCTGTGGGTACCCAGTGGTGCAAGGAACCTTCAGCTGTTAGCTTCACTAACAGGGAAAAGCGCGGAGCAGATAGAAGAACATAAAAGGGAAATTGAAAAGAGAAAGGAGATTGTTCAGTTTTTAGAAAAGGTCATCTTCAGTGAAATATACTCATTATAGAATTTCAATTAGCTCTAATAGTTGACAATACTAGCAGAATGGTAGCTCATACTGAAAGCATTTAATTACTTTAGTTTTAAAGGGCTAACTTTTCTCTTTGTAAATGTAAGTGTAAATTAGAGCAGCACAACTTATCCTTTTGGTTGCTTTTTTCTTTACAGCTCACTTTGCAAATTTGGCCACAGAAGTCATTTTCAGTCTGTCAAGCATGGACAGTATTTAATTAACCCATACAGATGCTTAAACATTTTTGTGGCTTCTATCTGCTTCTTTCTAGATTAAATATTAGTAAAGAGCTGCCTTTCATTTTCTTAGCTGGTGTAGTTACTACAATTAAAATTACATGGTATGTCTCCAGCATTTTTATATTATAGGAAGAATAGATACAATGGAAACTGCAGGGTATAAACAGTTTAGCCACTAACAAAAATACATTACGTATTTCTTAACCTTTCCAATATGCTGCAACTTTTTACAGGCAAAAAAGCAGACCTTAGCCACATGAAACTGCATACACATACACCTCCTGCTATGTAATCTCCTGCCATGGACTAGGAGAACAGATTCACTAGATGGCTTCTAGGTCCCTTCTCACATGTTTTATATTATTCTAACAATATATGAAAGCAGTTTATTTTTCTATTTCTTCAAATAAACTGAATAAAATTGTGCCTTCTTGGTACTAGCAATCTGCTAGTTTAAAACGTAACAATCTCTGACAATGAAGCAAGTGTGAATGTATCTTTGATAGCATGTTTTCTAAATACCATCAAAGGATATTTTCAAGTACATTTAAGAACCTAGCCAGAAGAAAAGCCCTTAGCTTTTGAACTTAAAATTTCTGGCTTGAACAAGATGATGCTATTTTACTTGATTTAACTTGAGTAATACAGTCATGAGATCACATCAGTCCAATTAAAGCATACTGTATACAATGGTAGTTCTACTGTACATTTCACTTACTGTTACATTAACTTGAACCCCCTGGAAAAATAGAGTTCTGTGAAAGGCAAATCTGGCAACTGTATTGTGAGCTGGGGAGTTTCTGAGCTAGCTTAAAACATGAAGAAGTATTTATACAAATTGGTCTTATTTTGTCAACAGGGCAAATCAAGATTGAAAAAATGCAGACAAATCTTTTCAGTCATCTGTAATCCATACACAGTAAATTGGCTCAAGGTCAGAGGCCAGACTCTGTGCTGCATTTCTCTGAGGCAATACACAGAAGGTAGAGGTCCAAGGGGGATGGGACAGTTAGAAAGGACGGAGGAAAGGGAATGACGCTTCATCCTATATTTGCAACTCCCAGATTCTGAGCTGCCTCTAGGTAAAATCCTCAGCAAGATCTGCTGTAGTGTATGGCAGCTTCCTCATTGCTGTCCACAAGCTGCTCCACAGCCTAGGGCTGTGAAAGTGCACTGCTCTGAACTTAGCTTTACCTAACAAGAGGGAACAAGGGCACATATGCACGCTACACCTTCATGGGGCAATCTTAATCCTTAATCAGCCTCTGTATACATCTGGAAAGGCTGTGTCAGGATTAGGAGTCTCCTCTCGTAGATCATAGTATGTGACTGCTTTTAATAAAGCAATTCACAAAGGAGCTGGTTCATGGGAACTGATACCAAACCAAACACAGGTTGGTAGAGACACGTATCTGAGATAAGGAGACACTACTGATTGACTGTGAATTGTGGTGATAATGTGTATTTAGCTATGCTCCCCATCTAAAGCTCACAATCAGAAAACATTTCTCAACTCTGAGGTACATTATCATTATTCAGAAAACTCCAACCTTTCACTTGTTTACGAACACAACTTTCATTGAATGTAAGGCAGAAATATCTGTCTAAGAACTGACCCACACTGTTCGCAAAACAAGTTTTCCCTTAACACATTACTCTATAAATAAAGACATTTTATGCAGTAAGAACGTGACCTACCTTTTTAGTCTGATTCACATTTACCAAACTGCAACTTCAAAATGCCTTTGCCATGAAGCTGAAGGATCTGGTTGTACTCTTTGGGCATTGCATGGAAACCTGGTTTAGGCAGCTGGTTGTCATAATAGTGGTGGCTGATTGGCATCTTCTCTGTGGATTTTGAGAAAGGCCAGAAGCCGTAGAGCTTCACATTCTCACACAGCTCAAGAGCAGCACTAGTGATCATAAAACCAGATGACAACCGGTAGGCTTTCACACCCTTAGTTCTCCAGAACTGGGCAAGACTTTTCAGGTAAGTGGGGTGAAAAAATATTGCTCTTTGGGTTGCTTTGAACTCTTGTAGAGTGTGATATACTTTAAAAGAAGTAGCTGTGTTGCTTCTGAAGGAAAATGCTGGCAATAAAAGGAAAGCATCTCCATAGACTGCAATGTTCTCCAGAAATTCTGTCTTCTTTTCATTTAGTTTGTTGTACCTGCAAAGTACATTTTAGGAAAAGAGTGAATGGAATGTACTATTGATATAAATATTACAGACCAAAGCAGCACAACTCCACTTGCATATATGAGTTATGAACTCTGCTGCACCAGTTCAGCCTGTCTACACTGCAAATTTATACCAACCTGTTATATGTTGTCATATGTGCAGTTATGAAACTCTGGCTTTATTGTATAATAAGAAAAAACTTCATAGAACTGAATTGGCAGCACAGGAGCTGCTGAAGCAGATCAAATTCACTGCTAATGAGACCAGGACTTGTTTACAGAATTGATCGATTCAAGAAATTTCAAAGGAGAATGCAAAAAAAAAAAAATCGCATTTATACTTTCTGTGTTTAAAAATACATGCACTACAATATGTATAGCACAGGTTTGTGAAATGTGTTTCTTACATCAACAGGTATACAATAACCTCTCTTCAAAATCATAGTGTCTGCCCTTTGTGGAAATACAAGTATGCACGTGAGCAGTCTTGAAGTGTTAAAGATTAGTGTGTGCTCAAGTTCTGCAGGGTCTTAGCTGCTTTTCATATACTTTTAAAATAGCTGAAAATATAGTCATGTCTGTTTATGTCCTTTAACAAAAAGGGAACACATGGACTTCTGTAAAGACTTGATCTAACTTTACAAATGAAGAGGATTTATCCTCAGATGCTTCGTTTCCTCAACAACCAGCTAAGAGACTTAGTTCTCACCACTGGATAATTCCGTGCTCCCAAATAGTGAATAGTGAACTTCCAGAGTTATCCAAGAAGTGATACAAGACACAAGGGGGTCACTCAACTCGTTTCCTCTATAGATCTGAGTTGTCTGAATCACCTGAACATATGGCACTCGCACCCTCTCTGGGATTCAAAGCACTGAGTCCTCTTTTGTAGTTAGTTGTCTATCTGAGCAGTGTATTTTCACCTTTTAAGGGCTATCAAAGCAATGGCTCTGGTAGAATGGTAAATGGCTCCAGCAGAAACTGGAAAACTTGGTTTTACTTGTCTTCACAACTTGAGTAGGTTCAAACCCTCTTTTCATGCAGCACTCCAAGACAGAGGACAGCAGCCACTGCCATTTCCATTCAAAACCCTCATGGAGGAGTTATCAGTTACCTCTCACACAACTGAACTCATGCAAGAAGTGACACACCCCCTCTCAGCCTGAAGGGGTTCAAACGTACAGCTTCTGCTTCCCAGAAGAGTGCCATTACCACCTGACTCTGAAACCAAATGAATGGGAGAGACTCAGGCCCTCCTGTTGACCCTGGGTCCCTGTGCATGCAAGAGTTGCACAGCCAAAACAAGCGAGAAACACCTGAGCCTATGTCTAGGAAGGGTGGCTGAAGGGTGAACTTCTGGCCTTTACTCCAAGAATTTTCTCTATTTCTACTCAGTGTAAAGTACATAAAGAGCGTTCAGGACAGAATTCAGATCTCTGTCCTTCCTCAACTAGAAACCTGAACAGCACAGCCTCGTCTTATTTTGCTTTCCAGCTCTGTCACGGTAAGGTACAGTGTAGCTCAGCTCCATTAGGACATATAAGAACTGTGCTTCTTTCCTCCAAGAGAGTTCACCTACATTGTACATCCTGACAGACACAGTTCAAAAGCAGATTAACCTTAACAATAATAACATCAGACTAACCCAGTACCCAAACACAGAATTAGAAATTAAAGTGAATAAAGTCAGAATAGGCCTTCTGAGAGAATAAACAAAGTTCTGCTAAAATAGTGCCAAGTTACTTCCTGCTCCTCCTTCAAAAGTATTTACAGTGTTCTCTGAATATTTAAATAATTAATTTTTTAAAATCCTAAAATCCTCTTATAATCTCATTTCATCCTCACACAGGTTTAGCTCCTATTTCCTTCAGTGTAACTCCTATTAACCCCGGTGTAGCTTAATTTGGCTAAAAAAATGCGTGCAGCTCTGGCAGAACACTTTGATCAAGCCCAGAAAAATCATGCGTCAGGTCAGCAGTAACCAAGGATGCTGAGTCACTGGACCAAGTTTTCCTTCCTCATATTCCTGTGCAGCCCCGCTAATATCAATGAGCTAAATATATTTTGTGGGAAGCAATAACTCATCTTCTTTTAAGTCAAAAAGGGCTGGGCAAGCATCAAAGTAGTTAGTAGTCATCGCAAAAAAAAAAGTTCTATCCTTGAATCAATGACAAATGCCTGTTAGTTGTTTCTATACTCACTGAACTTTTTCCTTCTTCCTTTAAAGGAGAAAAAAAACCAACTTTGCCTGATGTTGATTTTTGACAAATACAGATATGACAGACAATAAGATACAGTAAGATCAGTAAGCAGTAAATAACATGCCACAGCAGTCCTTTTCATAGATAAGCTGCAGTTCCAGCCTGCTGAAGATGTCAGATTAGTCAGCCTGGCCTTATTAAATTTTCTTTTCATCAAGAAGGTGAAAAAAAAAACTTTGCTGAGAAAAAAGTGTCTGAGCCACTTTCATATGGATTGAGAAAATGGATTACAGAAACTGGGCCTCCATTCAGGAAATAGCTTTCATCAGAACAGCCTCTAAGCACATTGGCTAAGAACACGTGCTTATGATTCTACTGATAGAGTCAGACATACATTTTCAAGCTTTCCTGATTTATGATTACAACTCCTTTCTCATGCTGAGGGTCATCAGGGTCATAGCGGGGAAAAGAAGAGGCTTGGGCTTGCAATCATGAGTTTTACTCTGTCATAAATTGTGGACTGGTGCCAACCAAGGGACTTGCTAATCTGGGTATTGCTGACTTCTTTCTGCTACAAAAAAGGTCAGGTTTAACAGATTTCTATTTAGACTGGTACATATTTTACATGGGAACTAAGGCTTAATGAAGTTGCCTGCGTGCAGTGCCCTCTGTGCTGGTATCCCAACGGATTTCCAACAAAATCTAAATCATGTCAAACAATTATACAATATTGCACAGAAACAGATTTGCAGTAGTACTTACTTCTGAGCTATGATACTTGGATTAACAGTCACAAGGTTTGTTTTATTGCCAACATCTTTGCTAATGCTTCCTGTAGTTGGAGGGAGGTTACACCTGAAATTGAGAAACATTTACTTAAACAGATGTGCACCAGAAATACTTTGCACTTATTATTTGCAAATTCCTCTCTTGTGCAATGACACTTTCATGTCAGCTCCCAGGGATTTCTAAGCACTTTACAAATATTAAATAAGGCTTACAGCACTTCCAGTAAAAATATTTAATCTACTGTACAGATGGTTAAAATAGGGCACAGAGAGCTCATTTTCATAAATCATCTCACAAATCAGGAGCAAAGTTAAAATCCCGGAAGGAGCTAGTCTATTAATGCCCCATGTTTGCTGCCAGGAAATATTTCCCCTCTTGCCTAAAGGATGCATTTTTTCTGAAAGTGTTCAATTATGTCTTCTATCAGCAATGGCACAACTTGCCCAACTGCAGAAACAGTGGTTTCTGTAAAAGGTAAAGAAAGCCTTTTTTTAAAGCCAGTGTAAGTTTAGCATCTTAGTATGCAGATTTCCCAATTTTATTAAGACAGTTATCTAACTGTAAAGACTTTTTTTTTTTTTAATTTGAAAAGCCCAAATATTAGTCAAAAGTAGGAAAGGAAACAAAATCCAGCAGACTGTATGATTGGACATCACTGAGAGAAGAACCGCTACTCTGTTACTCTGTTTCCTCGCAGGGACTAGGAAGTCTGAGTCACGTACTGAGAGAGTGGGCCAAATTAGTCTCAGAGTACACCTGGTTTTCTCCACAATCTATAAAGGGAGCTGAAAAAAAACTACTTAAGTTGCATGTCTGATTTTTTAGATGGCTAACAGAAGGTCAGACAAATATCAGGGCAGTTAAACAACTGTATTAGTGAGCCAACCTAAGGCTAAGTAAACCCTTTGTTAAACCAGAAGTAAAGGTAAACGTGTGACATTTAATACCAGTCTGTTTTATTTCAATTTCAGGGTTTTCTTTATTCTCTTCTCCTGTTTAAAAAAAATAAAAAGTTCCCTCTCCTAAAGGATGTTAAATGAACAGAAATTTCAGGTTCTTAGATAATCATGTTTCACATCACTGGCAAGGTATCTTTGCAATCATAGATCATACACGTATCCATATAGTCCTTTCTTTACTCAGGAAACAGCGTTCTGAAATCTACAAACCAGGAGTATCCTTAGAGAGGTAGAAATAAAGAACTGTCAAGATCTTTCCTCATTGCTACAAACTGGCATTGGCATGCTTCCAAACCTGCGAAGTTTTTAGAAACATGCAACACACTTCAGTAAGATGAAGCAGCTCTTACCTAAACACAAAGTCAGAACGATCGATTTCAGTTCCACAGCTGGAATTTTTCAGAATGCCTCCATTTCCAACCACAGCACAGGTCTTGAAGGGATAGACTGAAAGAGGAGAGGACTGCAAACAAATAAAAAGACACAGTCAATGCATTATAAATCTTTGGATTGCTTCTTTGCATCTTTAGTCATTTGTCCTGGCAGATTTAATTTGGTAAATCCCAGTGAAAGCATTCACCGCTTAGCAGACTGGGATGCCAGGCCTGGACAGCCAAGAGCCAAAAATAGGCACCAGTAGACTGAGAACTGCTACTTCTGTCTTCAGTGCTTTGAGGGAATAACACTGCATTGTTAAAACTGGATGAATATCTTTTAAATACACTTAACACAAAAATTATCTAGTAGTGGACTGAATCCTTGACAAGCTGGGGAACTATAGTTTAAATTTACCTGTTTTCCTTTGCACTGTAACAGACTGGGGATTGTCACCCAGTCATTGACTTTGTCAGCTAGTAGAAGGTAACTTCGTAAATGCTCATTACTTTGTCATCACACAATTACATTTGATGTAAAATAATAAATTTAGGGGAACCTGAAGATGCTGTAAAGGATAATCATGTGCCCTGGCTTAACTCATGGTGAATGTGATGGCTAACGAAGAGGTTACTGTTTCTGGCTGTTCACCCTCTCTACTCGTCTTGTTAGAGGTTGCTGTCTTCCAGTGGGAAAGCTGAATGGGAACTAAGTGCATCCACTTGTGAACCAGCACAGATCACAACCTAGCAAATTAATGTAAATTGTTGGCTATTTCAGTTGACATTAATATAGTTGGCTGTTATCCCAGGGTCTCAGAAATATCTCATATATCTCATTCAACCTCTCCTGCTGTGGGAGCACTGACATTCAACAGAGAGGCCAACAGCTAGGCTACTTTGACTGCAGAAACTGAACCCACTTGTAAAATCGAGTCAAAACTTGCTTACACAAAGCATTATCCTTCTTCCTTCTCTCATCAGTTTGCTCAAAGAGAAGCAGGAAGGGACATTGTTATGAACAAGGCAAAAAGTGGGAGAAAGTGGTAGACATCACGTCGCCTGGCAAGATATTACGAAACAACATCTTCAAATATTTTGTTCAATTCTGAAGAGACAGTAGGAGAACTGTTGTAGCCAGACAACTCTGGCTAGCTTAGCAAGTATATATGCACATAAAACATACTACTTTTTTCTTTCGTTCCATTTAAATTTGGAACTACTGTAACCTTTATTACAATGAAGTTTTTAGTGATTCACAGCAGCATTAGAAAGGACTGGACTTATGGTAGATGCAGTCTTACAAATCAAACATGCCAGAGATGGGTAAGAGGGCTCCCATGTGCTCTTACTTTCGAGAAATTAAGTACATCTCTATGCCCCTCTTTGTCTGGTCTCCAGACCTTATACGTCTATTGTAAGTCCCAAGCTAAAAAATCTGATTTCTTTGCTCAACCTGTGTTTCTGCCTGCAAAGGCCCCACCCCAGTGGGCAACAGAGCTGGTGAAAGGGCTGGAAGGAATGGCCTATAAGCAGCTAAGGACTTTGGGCTTGTTTATGTTGGAGAAAAGGAGGCTGAAGGGAGACCTCATTGCTCTCTACAGCTTCCTAAGGAGGGGAAGTGGGGAGGGAGGCACTGAGCTCTTCTCCCTGGTATCCAGTGATAGGAGGTGTGGGAATGGTTCAAAGCTGCCCCAGGGGAGGGTTAGACTGGACATTAGGAAGCATTTCTTTACTGAGAGGGTGGCCAAACACTGGAACAGGCTTCCTAGAGAGGTGGTCAATGCCCCAAGCCTGTCAGTGTTTAAAAGGTATTTGGACAATCCCTTAACAACATGCTTTAACTTGGTCAGCCCTGAATTGGTCAGGCAGTTGGACTAGATGATCATTGTAGGTCCTTTCTGACTGAAATAGTCTATTCTATTCTATTTTATTCTGTTCTGCTCTAATTCTATTCTAATTCTATCCTATTCTATTCCTTATCAGGTTTACCACCAAAATAGCTTTCATAAGTTATATGCCCAAGCCTGCACTGGAAATGGCATGGGAATATGAGGAATATGAAATGTTGTTCCAGATCGAAATGCCTTTGAAAATGGGAATGAGAAAAGCAAGGCAAACATTCTCAGATTATTCAACTCCTGAATTCAGCTGGCTGCCAAGCCAGAATAGAATCATAGAATCATAGAATCATAGAATCATTATGGTTGGAAGAGACCTCAAAGATCACCAAGTCCAACCGTATACCTGATGCCACCCTGTCCACTAAACCATGTCTTGAAGTGCCACATCTAAACGTTTTTTGAACATCTCCAGGGACGATGACTCCACCACCTCCCTGGGGAGCCTGTTGCAATGCCTAACAACTCTAACAGTGAAGAAGTTCTTTCTAATGTCAAGCCTGAACTTGTGCTGCAACTTCTGTTCTGTAGCAACTCTACCTACAATCTCATCTATGATACCCTGTTCATGCCTCCACCACTGCAGAGGAAGTCTTAAAAAAAGGTCTTACAAGGTGAATGAAGAAGTGCATACAAGGGGTGAAGGGGAAGAGGAATCAAACAAAGCAGCTCTATTACTAACCCAAAATATATATGATACTGCAATTATAATAACAGGTAAAGATACAGTTCTTACCACAGGCAGCATCTTAAAAATGTCCTCTGTAATAAGGATGGTCTTTTTACTGTCCACTTCATAACTCATGTTACTTCCCAGTGGGCTGTTGTTTTGTGAAGCAATAAAATTGTGAACTGCATCACAGCAGGAAGCTAATTCTGACCTGCAAAAACCCAAACAAACCCTGCTCAAAGACAGGCAAATAAGTAGGAAAGCAGTGGTAGAAAACCAGATCAATGAAAACCAGTTCTAATTTACTAAGCAACAAAAGGCTATAAGAACCCTCTATAATGTCATCTCCCTTGACTTGCTTTACAGAGCAAGTTCATTTTCACAGTAAATGTTCAGAAACTAATCAGACCAGGAATTCCTTTTCTTTCTTGGTCTCGCTTTCCCATTCAGAAAAAGTTGTATTTGGTCTTCTTATTATTAATTGCTAAGATTACTACAGAAACACTGAGAGACTTCAGTCCCCAAAGAATTAACGATGTGATTTCAATCAACACAGAATGAGTGATTGTTGGAAACTACAAGGTTGAAGAAAGAAAGAACAAAGGAGATGAAATGAATGGCGATGGGAAGTACTGGCTATAGTACTTAGTGAACAGCTAGATGGTTGCAAGCCAATTAGTTAATAATTGACTTCTGCAACTGTTCAGCACAGTTTTCCTGTGCACTGTATCACAGATATTAAAGAAATTACATCACAACTTGCAAATAAAGAAGACAGATGTCTTTGTAGTAGACACAAACAGCCTAGCTGTTCCCTGAAACACCTAGCAGAAGTCCTTAAACAGGTAAGAGTGCAAGGGATTCACTCAAACTTTATGTAGGAGTGAAGGCTACCACCCATCTTACAATTCCTATTAGCTCCAAACTTATAAAAATATTATGTGTGCAAATATCCTATATTATTAACAGTGAAATGCAATGAAAAGCCCCATCAGACCTTTGAAATCAGACCTGAAATGCTATAATTCATTTTGCTTTAGGAAACAATGTTCTTTCTGCTGCCAGTGGATCCAATTTTCAGACTATAAGGCTGAAATATTCATGGCCAGACACTATCTATTAATTGTGAAGACATAACTATCTCATTAGGTGAGATACTAACAGAACTACTAACCATTTAGAGAAGAAAATTCATTGATAACAGAATTGCTTGGAATTTTGAAGAAGATAACACAGCAAGGAAAAGATAATAATTCCTGTCCTAACACTGAAGTTAATTGTGAAGAAAAAAAATAAATATATTTACAGTTAGAGCCAGAAGAATAGAAAAGTTTTATTTCATACTTTTTCAGTGACTAAGGTAAATCAAACCGTTGGAACTAGTTAGACAATAAAGGCCAAATTCTGGTTGAAAGTAAGCTGACTTTAATAGCACAAGACACAGGTAAGAGAGTTGGTTCATTGGACTTTATCTGTACACAGAGTAAATATTCTAATCATAATGTAATTTTCTTTCTGATGGAGATGAGGCATAGTCTAGCACATGAAGAACCCAAGGATTATGTTCCCTGGAAAACAGGGAAGAGAATGAACAGGTCCAGGATAACTCCCAAACTCACTTCTCTTGGAAATAATGGTCAAAATGGGGGAAAAAAAGGTCAGGAAGGTTGGTTTGATTCACACATGAAATACCAAAGGAAAGAGTACCACTTCAATTGTCAGATGGCTTACTGGTATATATTAAGCCATTTTGAATACTGAGCTCTGAAACTCCTCAAAGACAAAGTTTCCAGATGTGTGAGGAACACTGGGAATGACTAAGTGCTGGCATGGCACAGATCTGAAATAATCATACTAGGAAAGTTACCAGGAAATGTTAATGGGAAATATTACTCTTGAGGGAGGAAACCGTAGCGTTCAGATTTCCACAAGCCATATTAAGCTCCACTCCTGAACACGGTGATTCCCACTGCCTTGCTCAAAGCCTTAAGGGGCAGGAGGGGCTCTGTGGTCAATGAAAAGCACTAGGTACAAGGGTGGGGATGGAACTGAGACCATGCTCTTGTGGGTAAGGAGGTGCACACATGGTGAAAACAATTGCTCTGGGCATACAGTGTCCTATTTTAAACACATGGAAAAATACAAATGGAACAATGAGGCAGGAGAGTCAAATAATTAAGTCTGGGAACATGGGATGTTATTGAACCAGAGTCCACGTGCTTTTCCCTCTTGTACACTTTTTCCTATAGCCAGCTCTTTCTAACCTTAATATAATAAGTAATAATAAGATTTAGATATCACTGTCAGGCCCTGAGGGCACCACCAAGACTCACTACCCCTGCCCAGACCCTGGGGCTGCCCCCATCCTGCCCACGGCCCAGGACCCCATTTCAGTCCCCCAGAGCCATCAGCCCCTGCCCCAGCGACACGGCAGCAAGGCCAGTCTCCAGCCGTGCCCATCATGTCCCCAGAGAGGTGCCCAATGCCCGGGCCTGGGGCTGCCCAGCTCCCGGCCAGGGGTCGGAGCGGTCCGGCTGCCAGTCCCGGCTGACACGCCGCGCTGCCAGTCCCGGCTCTGCTGGCCAGGTTATTGTGCTCGGATCCCACTCCTGCCCCTCACTGCTCCCTGGCAATCACAAACCCCATATTTTGATTTGCTTGAATTTTTTTCTTAAAGCTAAATGAAGCAGGCCTAAATATTATCTATGTCAACCACGGGAAATTCAGAGAAGGAATAATGTCAGAATATTCTTGCCAACAGTAAAACAGCTGTTTTGTGTGTGATGGCTACCAGAACCTGAAATGCAAACTGATGATAGATAACATTCATTAACACGGGTTACAGGTTTTTGCTTTTTGTTACTCGTTCGACAAGAACGAGTGCTTCAATAAAAGCAGAAACAGTCTGGAAAAACAGCAGATATCAGAATTAATAAGAAAGTAACAGTTTAAATTAATATTATGGATCCACTGAGGAAGTAAAACAGAGCCAGGCTAGTTCAGAAATGCAGTGAGCACAAGACAATACATATTGATTAATGATATATATTCTTATGTTACCTAAGAGCATACATGCTAAAAATCTGGAAGTAACAATAGAAACCTCTTACTTAGATCAAATCATGACACAGAATGCCACTGTGCCCAAGCACCCATGTACAGACCTTCAGCGGGAATGCATGTAACCGGCAGACAGCAGTACCCACTGGCAATATATTTAGTGATCCGTTCAGATAGGATTTTGTACAAGCTGTGACACATGGTACGTCTACAACTGACAGCAAACAATAAGCAATCCATTACTGCAATTGTCGTCATAGTATTAATGTCTATGTGGTCTCTGTCATGAGGTAATGACGCCCTAAAGAGTATGTACTTCATAAGATTACAACATGTATCCTACAAGCCAATTCTTTTAACAGGTGTTATATGTAAGGTGCTGCAAAGCCAAGACAACATTTTAACTCATGTAGCATGCCACCTGGGGAGAGTAATAGTTAAACCCTACCATACAAAGAAGTTCCTAACCAGATGGTGGGATAAGAGACAAGGGTCAGAATCTTAACAGCACCAAATGGTACTACCTTATAGCCAAACTCTGCATTTTCTTTGGAAGGGCAGAAAGTGATCCGTGTTCTTTGTTCTGACCGGGAGAAAACCTGCGATACGGGGGCAGCTCTTGGAAGATGGGATATTGCTATCAGGCTCAGCATCCACCTCAGATATGTGTAAGAACATGGATGTAGCTTACAGTAAGGAGGTTTATGTTCCAGTTGTTAACAAAGCTGCTAGACTTGGGGGTTGCCCTAGAACAAGTGTTGTTATGATCCAGTCACAGCATTAGTAGTCCAGAGTGAAGGAAGCTGGAGTCAAAGTACCCATTTTGCAGGGTCCTAGGTTTGGAAATTATCTCCTCTGGAGTACAGGTTGGTGCTGCCAGTTTCTTATTTGGAGGAAGCCTTCTCTCCAACATTCCTCCTGCAAGCAGCTGGAAGCAGAGTAAGACCTAAGAGCTATTTTTAAATCCTGAGGCGTAACATCAAGCACAGATATTTCTTACACCAAGATAAGCAAAAAGGGAGTTGATTGCATTATCTGGAAATTTCACTTGTAACAAATAAGGAACAAAATCAGTACCTGGAAAAAGACTACACCATTTGGATTGGTATTACATACCTCATAAAACTGAATAAGTACAGTCATGATAGTCTTAATCAATAACCTAACCGGAGTGGTGTGCTGCATTTGTCTGTGAAGTCTTGTTTGTATTAGATAACACAGAATCACTGTTGCACTGGAGAATGGTTTTTGTTGCTCAGCAGATGCTTTCATTGAATTTCGTCCTTTGTGGACCAAGGACACTGGACCCATTTTTGTATTGAGGTCAGCTGGGAAGGAATTCTGAGCCCACATGGTGTCCCAATATTTTCTTCAGGGTTGTGGCTGCTGAGAACTTAAGAAAATCCTGGTTTCTGAAGCAAGTTATCAAAGCATTGAGACCAGCCAAAGGAATAATGTTGTTTTTCAACTGCTATGCAGTTAGTCCACACCGAACTGTGGGCAGTAATAGAGGGCTGGTGCCTTGATGGTACATGTTTCCAAACCCCTCTGCATAACACAAAAACCTCACATGGGTAGTCCACTGTATTTAGCAGAAGTCAGTAACTATCTGCAGGATCTAAATATGCTTATGTAGTTTCTTTGCAGCCTCTGTAGTCGCTCTGTAGCCAAGGAACTCAACTTGAACTATTGTATCCCTCCTAGCAGCAAAGTTAATTAGCTCAGCTTGGTTCTGCACTTATACAAATATATGCATTTTAGTTGGTTCAGTGCTTGCATACAGGCGGCACGTGCCTGCTGAAAAGACACGGTGCACACACATCCTGCAGAGACTGCAAACATCTCAACATCTTCCTTCCAACGACTCAATTTGAACCAGCCATAAGGGCTAAAGCAGTCATCAGTCAAGGGCTAGCAGAGTTTCTCAGCTGGTCCAAAAGCCAGCACTGACCTTATCCTGAGTGGAATGGGAAGAATCAATAATACTATAATAAAGGTGAAATTTGTCTTTATGCAAATAGTTTCTGCAGAGTTTAAAAACTCCCCACTCCTCCAAACTGCTGATACAAGCACCAAGAGGACTTTTGATTCATCCTCCTGCACTAAGTAGGATGGTTTTTATTCAGAACACATTCTTTCATTAGAAATATG